TCGTTATTTCGACTAATTAATTTGCACTTGAATACACTTATTTTAAATTCACCGATATTCGTTAATGCAAATTTCGTGTCTCATTAAACAAGTCCTTGAATGTATTCGTTTCATTGCATTCAAATGTATTATGTACCGTCAAATCGATAAAAGATCAATTTATGGAAATTGTATTGATCGCATATCGTGTACCAAATATAATTTTTCCCGTTTATTTCGGTTCTTAAAGATATTGAAATCCGTTCAGACACATACTGCAAAATTGGATATACATACATATCAATTGAAGAGATCAATAATATATCTTTTCGCCAATCAAAACATGGATATCATAATTTGCCATAACGATATAATCTATTAGCATCAATTGTCGTTGAATGAATATTATATGACCGAATGAAAGCCTTGGGTTATGTAATTTTTTTTTTTCATTCGTCTAAAGAATCATATTGATAAGGATGAATGAGATTGTAATTTGTTATTCGGTGACCTGATGAACCCAATTAGACATTTGCCTCCATTTGTACTGATCAGACCCGAAATATATTTTGTAAACATCCAATAAAAATAAGCTATAAATGGCAATAGTCCAATATAACAGGAAGATTGATGAGAATTATGTTGTTTGAACATTGCTGTCATCCATTCTTAATGTGGATTATTCTGTAGTATTTTATAGGTGCTGAAATGTGTTTTTTGTCTTTTTCGTTCTCTCTCTTTTGTTTTTGTTTCATCATTACAAGTGTATGTATTTATTTTGTTGGCCAAGATTTTATGGATGGTTAGTTTGCACGTTGTGTGGTCCATCGTGTTTGTGTCCAACCTGTTTCGATTTAGTTTCTAATAAGGTAATTGAATAAAATGTGGTTACGATAAGAAGTCAACGTTTCATTTCAATTTTCTGCGAAATGTTTGGTTTTTTCTGTTGTTGTTGTTGTCGTCATTATGTTGTTTGGTTGACATTCAAAATAGGTATTTTTCTGCCATAAAAATATCTCAATTCCTGTTTGTCAGTATACGATACCGATGCTGCTGCTGCTTTTTGTCTTCGTTTTTTTTTTTGGCCATGCCTATATAGATAATGATACCATTTGCGGTGACAAAGATGTGTACACTTATGACTGGTGAATCACTACTGTTTTGGATACATTAAAACCGAATTGCGGAGAAAAATTACAGACAAACAGTAACGTTGATAAAATCCTGAATAAATCCGGTACAATATCACCCATCTCACAAATTTATGTATGAAGATGTGCTTCGGCATTTGTACATGGATTACAATACATTTTCACGACAAACGACACGTATGACGCCCTGTATTGTATTTTTCGGAGGGGGCTTTGATTCTGTCATCCTTGTTGCTATTGTCGCTGTACGATTTTCAGCAACAAGCAAGCGTTACGCTTCATACAATACGAATATATTTTCGGAAATTATTCCGAGGCGTGCTTAAATGTCATTCATTTCAAAATAGAAGTGTGATCAAACACATCAGTTGTATATCGGTTGTATTACTTCTGACTGGCACGACGACAAAAAGAATGAAAGAGTGAACAAAGAACCGAAAAAGAGAAAGAAGAAACACTGACTGTGACTGTGTCGAACATATATTCGACATATTGTTTGTAATGCTGGTGGTGGCGGTGTTGATGATGACAAAAACAAAAGACGGGGATTACTCTCTCGAAAGAGAGAGAAAAAGCGCCAAACCAACAAAAGAAAAAAAAAGTATTTGAACAATTTCGGGGAACCACGAAATCGAATGCATATCACATGGATTTCAAATAAAGTGAAAAATACAAACGCCATTACACATTTTTATTTGGATTCTTGTTATTGTTACCAATTCTACTGCCATCGCCATCACTGTTTTAGTCGTATATGTTGATGCCTCTCTCTGTTCGTGAATGCCCGTTCTTCGTTGTTGTTTTTTGCTCTCATGTATTCGGCATTCATATCCTGTAGCGCGGTTTCATTTTGCTATACACATGTTTTTCCATGAATAATAAATGCATATGGTTTTTATTGCATGAAAAGGGCGAAAAAAAAAATGAACGAAATACGCGGAGGATAAAATGTCGAAATAGAGTTCTAGAATGTTCATCTACTCCATGCTTAATGGTCATGCTCTTGAGAAAAGAGTTTTTGACATGGTCGTCAGTCTATATAAGTCGAGACTATATAAATAAACGCTTAGCATCGATTTTATATGAAAATTAGTTATGGCGCTGATGAAAAGCGAATATACGAATCTCATTAACAGTTGGTGCTTGTTGAATTTCCAGCTATTTTAACGGCTGAACACCACATCATCATAACAGCCGCAAATTTAATGATGTCGGTGTGTGGTTTTTTTTTCGCATTTGGGCCGGAATCATTTTTTTAAACCGCTTGTATTACGATATTATTTGTTGTGAATTGCGATCTTTATCTTTCATATTTGGCAATTTAGGTCCACATGTTGATTAAATTACCTGTTGGCTTATCAGTGGCACAAGGATGCGAACACATTCTAAAAACAATGTCGTTTAATAAACACCAATTTGGCGGTGCTTGCTTTTGTTGGTGTCTCAAAATTACTTCTTGTTAATGGTTGATGAACGTACTAATCGAGCGTTTTGTTCATTCCTTGTCAGGGAAGGCCATCAAATTACCATTTTAACAAACGAGAAAAAAGTGTATCTTTCAAAAAATGAAAACTCCAAAAATGATGAAATTAACAAGACGTAGCCTTTAGATTTAATATCTTATAACCAACACGTAGAAATGAGATACTTATTTTAAATAGTTGACTACAAAATGACTGAATGTTAACTGAACACGTGAAGGCGGATTTGCCATCCGCCCATTAATTCATTTTAATCGCTTCAAACTCGAATATGAATATCAATATGCTCATTGCACTATCTCAATTATCTTCATGATACACAATGTGTGGCAAGCACAGATCATTACGATCAAAATCATTTGAAATATTTTGATTTATGAGCGAACAATTTTCGATACGTATCTTGTACGTTGCAGTCATTATTAATCATGTTTGATGGATTTGTTACTCTCTTTTTTTCATTTGCATACACAAGAAAAATGATGGCAACAATAATACATGCGTTTAGTCTTTCATTCACGAAAATTTGATGGCCACTTACAAAGCATTACTTTCACCACTTGTTACTTTCTAACGCACAAAATATACAATTTTTTTAGCTTTAGCATGATTTTTCAATTACGAAAAATGGCATCAATTTGATATAGCAATTTTATTGACTAGCCCAGTCCATCTGATTAAATGGTACAAGTTCAAAGCGAAATCATTGGCTTGAATCAAATAGTATTTAACATTAACAAACTTGCATACTGAAATACAGACATCAAATCCATTGATGAAATTTCAGAGAATGCAGCAAATGCAAAATAATTTAATAAGATTGGAATAAATTTTTGGGAATTTTCAACAAAAGTCACTTACATATAAAAAAAAAGGACCATTATAACTCTGTGTATATATAATCTATGAACTGAACTGATTCGTATCATTTCCACATGACGAAGCATAATTAACTGATGAGAGCAAGAAAAAACGAAGATAGAATCAGTACTCCTGTGCATCTCACAAGAAGACCATTGAACCATACACACTTTATGCGATACAAGAGCTGATGAAATTTAATCTAAAGCATTCCATTCAAAAGCGAACCAAAATTACTCCATTTAAAAAGCAGTTCACAATCAAAATGTACAATTTTCTTTTATTTAAAAACGTAACATTTTTGCTTGGATATTTATTTTATTTTTTTATTTTTATTTTTGTTTCGTTTTCTTGACATTTTCCTTACAGCAATGCACAAAGCGAAAAAACGAAACTTCAAATGAAAAATAAGGGCCAACAAAAAACTTCGAAACCCACATATTTAGCCACATATTGTCTATTTTCATTCGAAAACGATATTTAAGCAGATTCATGGAAATTAAAACTGCTGAAGCGACGAATAACGCAATAAAAGAACTTATTAGATTTGTGAATCAGTTTTACATAAACTTGTTGCAATGTGTCGCTGCCGACAAACGACGATATACGTGCGATGAACGAATAAGAGAATGAGATGAGGTGCGCTTTTTATTCTTTTCATCTCTTTGTCACAACCGAATTAGTTATATTGTATATGTATGGAAAATATGAGAATATTTCTTTGCAATATCTCTCCCACCTGATTTGAAATCGTATTTTTTCATTCGACTGTCTTTTGTGGCACGAAGAAAAAAGCGAAAAAAACCATATATTTTTTTTTTTGTTCAGTTTGTAGAATGAAAAGAAAAAAAGAGAGAAAATAAGTAAAGTCAACCTCATGCTCACAAAGAAACAGCCATCACGAAGCCAAAAATATAATGGTGGATTTTTGGGGTGTAAGAACAAAGCTCAGGCAAAATATCCAGCACATTACACTGAGTGAAAAAATGTGTTGCTATACAACAAGGAATGTACACGGGATAAATATGCATCAAATTGTGTTTACTTTCAGCCTTACACAATTATGGCATATAAGCATTGAATAATAAAACTTAATAGGTATAACGCTTACAAAAATTGCTCGTCAAGCAGATCCACAAAAAAAACAAGCGCATTTCTTTTCTCTCTCTCTATCGTTCGTCTTGTTTTGATAAAATTCACTTGAGGAATTCAAACGGTTTTATATGTTGCATGCCACAATATTATACAAAGAGAGGATATGGCAAAACCATTTTCAGCCATGGCATTTTATTCTCTATTTCTTTTTTTTTATTCTCAGCTGAGGACAAGAAATTTCACTAATCATAAACACATTGTGTCGACGAGCGCTAAGAGAAGTGACGGTCGTTTCTGAAATGTTTTGGGGTCGACAAAAGATGCGCGCAAATAAAATTCGCTCACTTTTATCTTCTTGATACCTTGCATTCACTGCTTTTTGTTGATTCAAATAAAATTCCCTTTATTTTTATAAATCTCAAATAATTCGCACCTGAAGCACTACTGCCAATTGCACCACATTCAAGCATCTATTCAATTTTCCAAGCGTGAATTTTATTTTCTCAATTTCGGTTGACTTTTTTTTTAAATCATATTGTTTGTTTACACTTTTTGATTGAAATATATATATATTTTTTAAACTGTCACGTGAAATGCAGAAATAATTTAATCAACACCAAATGCAATTGTATCGAAACAATACGAAGAATTTTGGCTGCTTTTTTTTTAAAAAAATAAAATCTTTTAGTTTTTTTGTTCAATCACTTTTTATACACTTGAAAATGTAAAGGCTTTTACACTTGAATAAAATAAATCCATTGTTTACGACGAAAAGTTTTGATTTTTTTGGCACATTCAAATAATATTTAAATAAAATTCAAAGTAAAGTCCGTAATTTGATCTAAAACAAACGTATTATTCTAAATTCAAAAAACCCAAAATCGGTTTTGGTTACATTCAAAACATTTAAATACTTCACCCTTTCTCTCACTTTCCGATTCTTTCAGCAAAACGAAAGTTAAACAAAAAAACATTGAAAATAATACAAAGATTTGCTCTCAAAACTTTGTAACAGTGAATTGTTTTGTTTCGAAAAATATGCTCACGCTACGAAACGTTCATCGCTTTTCACCGGAACGTTTTTTTTTTAAAAGAATATATATATGGATAAAACCATCAATACGACCGCTCTGTATCGCACGTTAATACATACTGAATTTGGTGTGCTCGTAGTGTACATTGTCTAGCTCTGTTGTTTGATTCCTCAAGCAGTTGCCGTTTCGTTGCTTAGTTAGACAATAAAAATGTGCTGGTGGTTCAAATGCGTGTGGATAAAAGCATGTAAGCAACGGCTTCAATGTAACGCGCTTTATGCCGACACTGACATAGAGAGCTAGATACATTTTTTGAATGTAACGCAACATTACAACGATTTGCGATTGTTGTACATGTACGATATTCCATTTGATGCGTATTGAATCGCACTTTCAACTTGATTGGCATTCCACTTTGTTCAATTTTTTATTGATCGATTCAATTATAGTTTGTCAAATCTTTGAAACATTTTCAACCGTTCACGTAATAACGGTTATTCGAACTGTGTACGGTGTACGGTCGCCGTTTTGGAGTTCAAACGAAAAATCATTTCAAAACATTTTTTATGTGAACTGAAAATCGGCAATCATGCAATGGTGTCGGATGGTGTGCATCGTAGATCCTCTCTGTCTCTCCATCTTTGCTCCGCAACATATCATATGCTTTATGATTTTTATTAGCATAAATAAAAGACATTTCCATTGGCATATGAAATAAATTGAAAAATTTCATGTCACTTCATGATAATGTATAAATGAAAGCAATCATACCGTCGCCATTTCATATTTTTCATTTGCACGTAATTTTTAGATGGTTGACGTTAATGCAATCGGACAGTTTCAGTTTCGATTCATTGCACACTTGTTTTTTTCTTCTCTTGCATTTTACAATTTTCAAAGCACTCGTCAAGGAAACATTATCCGACACTTGCTGTTGCGGTTGCAGCCTCTTTGCGATGATATTCACTTCATACGATCGTGGATCACACTCTTATGCAACCTATAAATAAATAGATTGTCGCACACTAGATGTGCAAAAATGATTGATACATTTATTGAATTTAAAGCCCTTGTGAGAATATTTCTACTTTGAGATAAAATTCACTCACTTACAGCGATGATCCAATACAAATGATTTTAGTTAAGTTTAGCTTGGACAAAAAATGTTTCAAATTACCGGCTGAGATTAACGGGGAAACAAAAAACTATGTAAATTTTATTCTTGCTCAAACATTTTATTTTTAAACGGGGATATTAAGAAATTTGTAGTATCACCAATAAGAAAGACACGGGTAAAAAATTATATGAAATCCACGAAAGTTCATCACTTGTTGTACAAAAAAAATTTCTAAATTGAACATGTTGCTGCAGCTCTCTATTAGTCCATTTATTAGAAAATTTAAGTAAATTTACGTGGAAATGAAGGTTGCGAAATTTTTTCACCGCTAGAGAGAATGATTTGGGTTTTTAGAAGTGGGCACTTTTTTTATACAGAAAATATTTTTTAAAAAACTTGTTGATAAAACTTGTTGCCAATAAAATTTAAATAAATGTAAATATTTTTCAATTATTGTATAAAAAAACAACTTCATTTGCGGAATTATAATTTTGAGTAGAGATTTTTTTTATAATGGGCTTGAGAATTAAACAAATAATAAAAAATAAAGTATTTTATGTAACTGGCACATTTTATTTAAAAAAAATTAAAATATGCTTCAATGTATTCAATGTATTTTTATTATCTCATTGATGTGTACTGATTGAGCCAAAACAGAAAATAGATTACGAATTTTCTCTTCACTTTGGAGGAAAAGTAAAAAAAAAAAATATGCCAGCACTTAATGCACCAAACTTAAAAATTCAATAAAATGTTGCTAACTATAAAATTAGCGGTGTGCAATAACGAGCATACAACAATATTTCATTATTATTAAACTTTGACATTCGAATAAAATACGGTCTGTGAATGAATGTAAGCTCGAGACTGTTATCTTGATTGTTTGTGGTTTGAATTTGTGGTCAAGTTACTTTTTTTGCTTATGATTTAGACTTTATGTGATATATGATGGCCATAAATTGGCTAAAACTCACTCAAGGTCATAAAAAAGTTTTTGATTCCAGCTTGAACTTCCATGTCGTGGCAATATATTCGCTACTTCTTTTTTTATTCGCTTTATTATGTTCCGGACTTTTTAAGACTTCACCTTTATCAGAACAATCGTCGGTTATAAAGTCGTCGGATATTGTGGATGTGGTCTATAATGGATGACAGCTAAAGTTGAATTATATTTTCTATAGTCCCGAGTAAATCTCTCTCCATCATGTTCTTTTTTCGGTCTGTTTCTCACTTGTGTATCAAATGTCTGTGGAAAAAAGTATTAATTTTCATTTGGATGTTTTATGAATGGACAGCCACCTCATTTTGGTTTTTGCTCTTAAAGTCTGGATTTTTCTATGCAGTTTTTCTTGTTGTTCGACTCGACTCGAGTAAGTTTTATCGAAGTTTGAAGCACTTTATATGCTTTTGCCATTTCCAATTTATTTTTTTCCCCTACTGCAACAGCTGTTTGTCTTCAGGCGATTTATTTACGCCTGAATTTACATCTAATACAACAATCTATTTGAAATGCAATCACATCATATACAATACACAATGTACAAATAAAAATAAAAATAATAATTATTGTCATCCACTTGAATATGCGAAACTGCGAATAAAAGACGCATAAAAACAGTTTAAATACCAATAAATGTTACGCATTATAATTCCTTTTCTGTACCGGAATCGCTTCGCAATATGCTCATAGACATGCGATTTTTGTTTATTTGACGCCGAGTTGTTGGGAATGCGTTTGACTATGATAACAAAACAAAGGCAGCGAAAAGCGCTCATAATTCTTTATGCATAAGCTTCACGAAGGATGAAGGCGAATATGGTTGAGAATACATTCGCATAAAGTGGATTTAATTCGAAGACAAAACAAACAAGTGAACACTTTATTGTCATTGTTGTGTATAAGCGAACTATAAACAACACATATAAGCAGAGAACGAGAAAACAAGAATATGCGAAACGCAAACGAAAACGAGATATATTTGAATAGACCAGAACCAGAGTTCGTGTAAGACACTGTAAGTGTGTGTATGTTGATCAGCTTCATTTTCTTGACTCTTCTTGAGTGCTCTATGATTATGCGATTTTTAACGAGAAATGCATAATGAGAAACAATTTTCAGCGAATATTCAAAAGTTATTGAAATTAAATCTTGCGTATGAAATTTAAAAAAAAAACATACACACCAATTTAAATATGGTATTAGTGTGAGTTCTACCATATCTAGTCAATGATTAAACTTAATGTAGGGAAAGCAACGCATTTCTGCTCAATCTGTTATCAAAATAAATTTCCATTTAGAAACGTAGATAAAAGCAGTAACGTCGCCATTCACCAAGAATATATATATAGCAATGGTAATCAGGAAAAATTTGAAGCAAAATGCTTACAATTGAATAACAACGGCCTTGTCTATAGAATCGCACGAATTTAATGAATATAATGTGAGATGATTTAATGTGATAAATCTAAATACAAGTTCATCTCCTCATAAATCAGCTTGTGTTGGATTGAATCGGTAGTGTAAATCACGGTCAAAAGATTATATCCATAATAAAGACAACGCGTTTACAATAGAAAGGAAATATCGCCCATACCGATTTACATACACACAGATACAAACGCATAATCTTTCAGTTTGGTGAATTGATCTCTGCTTGATATTTTCTCGTGCCGGGCCATGATCCGAAAATCGCACGTACACAAACCGCCCACATTGACATCACAAAATTGTTACAAATGGCTAGATAAAATGTTAACGGATGCTCACATTATTGAGATGTTGAATCACTTCATCTAAGTCCAATTCCGCGGTTATAGTTACACATTCTATTTTGAATGTTTGCCTGAATTTTGTGGTCTGTGCAACACCAAAATGTTGTAACCATTCAATTGAATTTACTGTTAAAATGTTCAATAGTCAAAAGAGAATCTAACATAGATAACGTTAGCATTGCAAAAGAGCCGAAGGTATTAGATTTAAGAATCCATATAAATTTGTTATCGAATTTTCCATTCAGCAGATTGAAGCAGATGAAAAGAAATTTCGTTTCAAAACTGACATTCACCAATCGAGTTAGGGAAGTACATTCAATAGCACAACTTGCTCAATTGATGCACAATTAAGTAAATTGTCGACCTTATGGCAAAGAGCAAAGTTTTTAAATATGAATCGATTAAATTGGCACTCAAACGGGAACAATTTTCACATTTTCAAATTTCTTTTATACCATCATTCAAATCAAATGAATTGCGAAAATATCTAAAAAATATTGTCATCCTCATATAGGAATACTTAACTTGTGCATTCAAACTCACGTGAAAACATGTAATCATACAATCCGGAACCAGAAATTTCCGATCGAAAAAATT